CCAAGATCAAGCAGCGCCTGGCCAAGCTGGAGATGAAGTGAGTATCCTTGGAGTGTTGTTCCATAAACCTTAAATTTAGGCCCCCCTTTTCTTCATTTTCAACCCCCCTTTAGCGGCGGCCCTGGCACGTGGCGACTGGAGTGTGAGCCACAGACGCGAGTTCGCAGCGGTCGCCTCTATTCGCTGCAGCCCAAGCGGCGCCCACGTTCGCGACCCGACGCGACTGCCAAAATCGGCGATGCTGCCAAGCAGAACACGCTCTAAGTCCCCGGAAAACGCGCTGGAAAAGCCCCAGGTCCCGCTAAATACCCCCCCGAACCTTCATATCTCCACCCGAGGCCGGAAAATAGTGATAAATGCATTAAAGTTGCAGGAGGTTTTTTTTTTTTTTTGGCCGCGGAGATAACCACTTGGCCCGAAGCCAACTGTAAATTGGCCTGGGCCAATCAATTTTTAATTTTTACAATTAGTTCGTAGCGCAGAAGGGTGCGGGGGGGGTAAGGTATAGGGGTTGCCTAAGGGTGTTGTTTGTTGCAAACTTTATAAATTTGTAAAATGTTTCAAAACTGAATGTGCCTCAAAAGTGTGTGCGTGTGTGTAGAGCTAAGTTAAGAGGGGCGGACGGAGAAGCAAAGGGCAAAGGGCAAAAGGCAACCCACTAGTTAACCCACTACGATCCAGTGTACATACTTTAAGCATAGTCCAATTTTACACGTGAACAGCAATTGTTCGCCTAGGCTAGGATGATTTTACACACACCGCCGACCGATTTGGCACCAAATGGCACCAAAATCAGAGCAAAATCGACAGAGCAACTAAGGATTAATTTCACAACAACTGACCAAGAACCGAGGACTTTTCTGAAATAATTAAGGGCGAACGGGGTGTGATGATGCACACAAATCGAATTCAAAGAAAGCAAAAATGTTAACAACCAAGCTTCCAAAGCTTCCAAACCAACGCAAAACAAACAAAGTCAAGAAACAAAATGGAAAGCAAATGAAATGTATTTTTATATTAGTCCTAGACATTGAGTGTACGATGTACGATGTATTGTCTGTGTGTAAGTACAGCTAAAGCTACAGAATAAACGAGAATCGAGTAAAATTATACGCAGCACTTATGTCAGCGAAAACATATCCGGCGCAAGTGTTTCAGGCAGGCGTTGGGTAAATGCAAATCACCCGCAGCCTCCGGCCACGCGTTACCACCAAAGGATTCCTTGGCAGGACTCCTTTTACTGGCTTTAATGACATCTACGAGGGCGCAGACAAAAAAAAAAAACCGAGAAATAAATGAGAGAAAAGGGAACTGTGTACCGGAACACCTACAAGAAAGTCAATAAATGCAGACGCATTGTGGAAAATGGCAGCGACACGCGTTGGCTTTTTAGGTGCGACTTTTTTTGTGCGTACAATGAGGCGTATGCGCAATGTCAGAGCTAAAAAGGTAAAATGGGGCAGCAGAAGTGTAACGTGTGGGAGAGGGCCACCTTACACAGAAAATTAAGATGCACTAAATATTAAATTTTGTTTTCCCAAGCCAGTTTTTTTAATAATAAATCATGGTAAATTTAATTAATTTTATTAAATTACACTGCAAAGTGGATAACTTAAATAAAGAGGAATGACAATTTTAAATTAAATATAAAAAACATTGCAGTAAAAAAATAGTTTTCATAATTGGTAATTTCTAAAAACATAAAAAGCCATTTTTAAAATTTAAACAATTTCCTTTGTATAATTCAACTTATTATTATTCCTAATAACATTAAATATAATTTTTCAAAATTTTTCGAACTTCGTCGGATTGCAATCGAAACATTTTAGAAGTGATTTTTAATTTCTCTCTGTTTATAAAGCCCACGGAACCATGTGGAACCCCAAAACGGTCGCATCATGCCGTAAGTGCAGTAAAAAATCAATTTTGACAAAATGTTGAAAAACACACTCAAAGCCCTAAAAAAGTGAAGGAGAAGTTGGGCCCCTTCGAAAATCACTTGGGCGGTAGGCAATGGGGGCGTGGCACGTGAACGGAACCGATTGCGGTGAAAAGGCCGCGGGGCGTTGGAAAATGACTGACAATAAAATGTTGACGCAGCCAAAGAGCATTATGAATACAGGGTGCTCGAAGGCGATTGGATTAAGTCGATGAGTCCTGGAGTGGGGGCTTTCGAATAACCCCACTACCATGAACAACACAATCCCACTGCGAGTACCTGCTGGTCTTTGCTTTATTAAAGGCAGGCGTTCTCATACAGCTTAAGCTGATTGATGTCGAGGGGTTTTCAGTTCACACATCTGCATTAAATAAGTCCTTATGTACTTGATGGCTGCGGGTTTTATTGAAAAGAGGTGAGTGTGCAGTTTCCTTTCAAAGATTTTTGCGGAAAAACTCGTTAATAAAGTGTTACATTTCAGCCGACTTAATTTGACAATATGGTTTCCTATGAAAATCAGTATGACACTTTTTAAGGTGTCACTCTAGCCCACATTGGAACTGTCTAAATTAAAGTTTTCTTATACATTTTTAGCTCTGAAAAAGTGTAATACTTCTTAGTTCAATATTACTTTAAGCTGATGTTTTTCAAAGTAAGCTTCCAGTCTTTTTCCTTTATATTTCATTTAGCTATTTGTTTATTTATTTTAAACTTTTTTGGGTTCGAAGTAAGGCAGGTCTGATAAGAGCAACCGCTCAAAATAAAAAATTATAAGCTCATAAGTTTTTCGAGGCAAATTAACAATAATTGCGAAACTCAGATTATTATTACTACCTGGAACATGCTTAATAGACTTCCATTTTTTAACAGTACCTAAAAAAACTTTTATATTTTATTTAATCTCACTTGGCTCAAAGGTGAAAAATATATCCAGGTCGTCGGCAAGCCGAAGTTCATATACCCTTGCAGCTATTGTAAGAATTAAACATTTTTGAAAACATTAAAATTATAATTTACTTGCGTATATGTTTAAGAGCAACCGCTTCAATAAAAAATTATTTATTTACTTTATTAAATTAAAAAACGTAAGCTAACTGATTAATCACCTATAAACTTTCCCACAATGGGGCCCCTTCTATCCTTAATTTTTAAATGTACTTTACAAAACAATGAACAAAAACAAGGACTATCCTTTTGTGGCGCGTTAAATAAATATGCCTCTTCGACCTATTACAAAAATGTTCTGTATATACTATATATTATAAGTATTAAACTTGGGTTCGATTTTCAAACTCCTCTTTTTTTAGGTAACAATTCCTTTTAAATTACTGGACTGCATTAAGTGTTTTATATTTTTTGTATCATTTCAAATGATTCATTGATATATTTGTCATTCATATTTGCACAAGGAGACTGCTATCAAACGACTTTGTTTAAATTTGAAGGTGATTTGTTTCATTTCAACGTCAGACCTGAATAAACACTCCCCTCAGTAGAACAATCCAGAATTGAATAGCAAGCAAAGCCATGTCCCAGGAATCTCCAGCAACTGGTGATATGCAGTCCCTTCGCTGCCTGCACTGCATGAAGGTGATCCGGTGCTCCCGCTACGACACCAGTAGACTGGTTCGCCACATCGAGCAGGATCACCCGGATATCTTTGCGGCGACCAACGATAAGATCAAGAATCTGCACAAGCTGGCCGCAGACCACGGCATCAGCGAGGAGCGTCTAACGAGGATTGGCAGGATGACGGGTCTCTCGGAGACCGAGATGGCCGAAAAGGCAGATAAATGTAAGGGTTTTTTTTTAAAGGGAAATACATAAATAGTTTTGCTGACATATTTCCATTTAACAGATATGGCCAATAAGATGAGCTCTGGTCGGAGTGGTGGCTCCGGCGTGGGAGAGCCAATGGGAAGAACTTCCTCGAAAGCGGCCTACAGTGCAGCATCCTCGAAGGACGGGAGGTCCTCCGGTCCATCTCCATGCACATGCCCACGTGCAGGGGACAAGTCGAAGGCGCATCGGAGACACTGCTACCGGGCGTCCATCGAGCGCTGGGCTCCGGCCGAGGGTCGCATCTTCTGTCCGTGCTGCGCCTGCAACAGGCGTCCGCTGATCAAGGCCGCCACGGAGATCGGGGAATCCGGATGCTGTGTCTCCTGTCTGCTCACCTGCTGGCCCCTCTGCTTCCTGCCCTGTCTGCAGTCCGCGGACAATCGGGAGTACCTTTACTGCTCCAACTGCCGCACCTTCCTCGGCATCTACGATCGTGATCATAACTGCGTCCATCCCAGCAAGGAGTTTGTATCCTGTTCCAACTCGGCCACGCCCCCTCCGAAGGAACCACTGCAACCGCCCCCCAAGTAACCTGCAAAGAACTTTGTTCTTTTTTCTATTGGTCAAATTATTTGTGTAAAGCTTTGGACGCGCTAGTGAGTAGGGCTCAAGATCCCAGTTTTTGTATCTCTTACTATAAATTGTATTATTATTATTTGTAAAATCCTTTTAAAAAATCTATTTGTAAAGACTCAAGTAATGTTACTAAGTCAGTGTAGGAAAATGATTAACAAACTTTCATGTAAAATAAATATATAGTTTTCCCTGTTTCGATTTTAACAAAATAATAATTAGTTCTTAAATAGTTAGACACAACTTTATCCGTTTAAATCGAAAAACAGCGACGATTTATTTTTATTATTTATTTTTCGGTTCCTAACTATAAAGCTGAACCAAAATATAATTTGAGTTCTAACGGTATTCAAAAATTTCTGCAATACTTTATTAAACTTAAAAAATCCTCTTGAGTATTCAAACTATGTACTGTAAATATAATTTACTCCAATTTATTTTTTCATATTTAAAATAAACAGCAACGTGAGCTTATTTGAATTACTTTCAAATACTTTATACCTAATCCAATAAGAATAAAATAAATAGCTAGGTTTCTCCATTAATAGCTAGATATCCCATGAAAAATAAATAGCTATTAAAGTGACGGGAAAATATGCAATTGCGGTATATTTGGTATTTTAAAGCATTCCCGGTAAGGTCCCACTGATTGCGACGCTGGAAACTCGATTCGCTTTTTTTTTATGATGGAATTGTCGCCAAACAACCAGATCGAGGACAGAAAACCCATCCTAACCGCCGACGGCCTGGTGCAGACATCGAACTCCCCCTTCGAGCCGACCATATCGCAGGAGACGCAGACGTCCAACGGAATCGGCGGTCAGTGCCAGTTGACGGTGGACCAGTTGGACATTGAGATTCTGCCGATAATCTACGACATTGTGCGCTGGTGGGTTGGTGGCACTACGCTACGGGTTTTGGGGCCAATGACCCTGTGCGGATAATGCCGAAAATAGCGAGAATGCGTCAGCAAATGCGCCCTCAAAACGAGGCCTTATATAACTAGGTGTCTTTGTGTCTTGCAGCGTGGAAAAGGATCCGTTGGAGAACGCCGTAAAGCTGCGCGAGTCCCAGGATTGCAACCACAAGGTGGGTCCTTGGATCACCCACCACACCCGTCAGACTTTAACTATTCTATTCTCCGTAGATCTTTGAGCTGCAGAAACGATTTGAGTCCGCCCGCGAGCAGATCCGCCAGCTGCCCGGCATCGATTTTAACAAGGAGGAGCAGCAACAGCGATTGGAACTACTGCGCAATCAGCTGAAGCTCAAGCAGCAGCTGATCCGCAAGTACAAGGACACGGAGTTCTAGACGGTATTTGGGAGCAGAGCTGAAGAACCCGGCAAGATGGTGCTGCGACTGCTGATGCGCTACCTGGCCAACAACGAGCAGCTCATCCAGCGCATGGCGGATAGCTATCCCATGCGACGCGCCGCCCAGTTGGCCGTTTCCCTAATGTACCGCACCAAGAGCTTGGCCAGGGAGCAGGGACTGCACGAGATGACGCCAGAGCGTTTCAAGTGGGTCCATGTCCAGGCAGGAGATTCCCAAATCTAACAATATTTTCCAATTTGCAGGGCCTTCGTTAACATGTTCAAGAACAACGTGCGACAAGAACTGGAGGGAGTCAAGAAGGAGCTCAATAGCAAGAAAAAGAACTAGGGAACAGTGGTTACCTTGGTCAGCACCAGCAATTGTACATACGCGGCAAGATAAATTTTAGTTAACTACAGTAGTTACTGATGAATAAACATTGAAGCCTGAACATTTAAATCGGTTGACATGGATTATTTAACAGGAAACAGTAAACTCTCGTTACAAGGTATATAAAATCATAGATTTGTAGTCAAGGAAATTGCTTTTATTAAATGGATTGAGAAACTTGATAATCTTAATCATTTTTTCAGTGACAGTGTACTGTTCTTAACTCTAAATAACAAAAATAAGGGGAATCCAGATTGTCATTCGGAAACCACCGTTTTACAAAAGAATTATCCTTCTAAACAAGAAAAAAGTAACTTAATTTATGCATTCACAACGCTTTAAACTTTAGTAGTAAAAGTATTTCGATTATGTCTACAAATTCACTTCAATTTTTTTCTCACAAAAAGAAAAGTTTTTTTTTCATGTCTAAATTTGAGTTTATTCACAAGCAAGTGAAAAATTCAATCTGTAAACTTAGCTAAAAACACAAAGGTAAACAAAAAAATGTATTGCAATTAGTAAAGCATAAAACAGAATTAAAGTCGATAAATCCGCGTTTATTTAGTAAGAAAACTAGGAAAAAGAAAATTCATGTTGCAGTGACTTTTGTGGTCTTAATTCTAAGGAACAAAAAATATCGAATTCGGTTTGGCATTTCGCTCAATGTACAGTGGACGAGAACGGGACACGGAACAGTTTATTTGAGGCAGACGGCCCCTTCAGATCAAGAGTCCGGACTGGAGAGTAGGAAAATATATTCATCCCCTTCTCTTTAAGGATTTCAAAAATACTTTAGCTTACGAAACTAGAAAGAACAAAATTTGGAGGCGGCACGCGAGTTACTCGGTGAGACCTGGCGACGCGGCTTCTGCGGACGACGAGGCTATCTCGCCGAGGGACAGACCCAGACCGGACGAGCCGTTGGACTGACCCGTTCCGCCGCCGCCGCCGGACGGAGTGGGGCGATTGTTTCGTTTCCGCTTGCCGCCCCGCCGGCTGCCTCCCTCGCGCTTGTCGCCGTTCTGCTTCTCCTCGCCGGCGGCATCCTTGCTGCATCCCGCTCCCGAGGAGCTGCCCTGACCCTGCTGGCGGTGCTGGTTGTTGCTGCCATTGCTGCCGCCGTTCTGCGAACGCGATTGCATTTTGGCGGGCTTGGGCCGGTATGGCGAGGCGGCGGCATTCGGTAGCGGGCGCAGGATGTTGCCCACCGCCTTGGTGCGTCCCTCGCGGAAGACCAGCCGCTGACCGGCGCGTATGTACTCCGGCTGCTTGATGAACCGGAACTTCACATGCGCCTTGTCGCCGGTCCGCAGGCAATCGCGCGACATGTGAATTATGGAGGCCGTCTGGCGGATGCTGCCGCAGTGAACCATCGCCTGGTAGCGTGCCGATATCGTCGTCGGGTGATGCAACACTAGGATCTCGCCCTCGAACTCCCAGCAGGCCTGCGGCTTCAGATCCTGCGACACCATCACCATGCCTTTGCGCAGATAGGCGCGCTTAATCTTCTTCAGTGCAAAGCTCGCCGTCTGGCCACAGCGCACGCGCGCCACATTCATCCGCTTGCGGTGGATACTTTTGATGGTGATGGGCACAAATCCACCCACTGCGTCTGGACCCAGCATCAGGCAGTCGTTCAGCCGGATGGTGCCCTGGAGGCAAGTGCCGGAGACCACTGTGCCAACGCCCGGCACCGAGTACACGTCGTCAATTTGAAACTCGGCCGGCAGGCTCTCGGAACCGGCCATCCGCGTGCTCAGCAGGTTGAGGAACATCTTGAGCAGCCCCAAGTTGTCACCGGTCACATTCGACACCTGGAAGATGGGGCACAGACGTTCGCTAACGAAGTTCGTAGCGCTCAGGACAACGTCGTCGTGCGAACGCACCACAACCGGCACCTTTCGGCATCCCTGCGATTTGAGCATCTTGAACAGCAGCTTCATGTTGTCCTGCAGCACGTTGGCCGGGCACATGTCGATCTTGGTGACCACCACAAAGACGGGCACGGCTAGGGCCAATGCCAGGCCCAGATGCTCCTTGGTCATGCCGATGATGCCAGCATTGGCGCCAATCTGCGGAAAGAAAATGCTCAGTTAGGCCACGATGCGATTGCTTAACCGAAGGACTCACCATCAGCATGCCAAAGTCGGGAGCATGTCCGGTCATGCCGAAGACCGTGGTTTTCAGGTAGCGCTCGTGCCCCGCCAAATCGATGAAGGTGATCACCTTGGCCGAGTTCTCGCAGATCTTCACCCAGTCCAGGTGGCCATGGTCCGGCTTATTGACCACATTGCCCACCCCATCGAAGCCGAGAATGTCGTTGCCCACGGAGCTAGTGCGTCCGCTCTCGATTTCGTGCTTGTGACGGAACAGTCGCTGCCTGGCATGACCGCGGCCATTGTCCAGCTCTCCGTGGGTCAGGACGCCCAGCAGCGTGGACTTGCCCGCATCAACATTGCCCACAACGGCCACTCTGAGGAATGGCAAATGGCAAAGCGGTTAGATTCGGATTTTTCTAAGAGGAGATCTTTATCCTACCGTATTTCCATAAAGTCCGTCGTCTCGATGTGCTTACGGATGAGGAACTGCGCCGATTGGCCCTTCTCTGCCCGCCGCTCACGCAGTTTGACCACATCCGCATCTATGTTGGCCGCAAGCAGATGTAGCGTGGCCACGGAGGCCTCAAACTGCTCCGGATTCAAGCCATTGTCGCTGCCATCTATTAGGAAAAAAGGCATAAATTTACGATTAGTTTAATTTGCTGAATAATATTTTCAAATTTGTATGCAACTCCATAAACAGATTTGTTGTTTATTGTTTTTTCTAGTTAATATTTTTTGTTATTCATTTACATAAATTGCATTCAAAGTAAATGTGTTAAGAATGCAAAATATGATAGCTATGTATATAGTAAAATTTTAAACATTTTTCTTTTATTCAATTACTAAGTAATCAATTTCACAATCTAGTGAAATATATAAATAGATATTATCGATATGGGAAGTCCTTCTGAGGTGCAGAATTAACTAATGGACTATACCATTTTAAGCTTCATATGGGTTCCGTTGATTTGAGCTAGGCATGCTTTGAGCTCTTGAAAGGACTCACCCTCGCCAACGCCAATCTCGTAGATGGTCTCCCCGCAGTTGTCGGCGATGCGATCCTGGAGCCGCTTCTGCAGCAGCTCCATCTGCTCGTCGCTGGGCTGCACCAGGACATCCTTGCCCCGGATGCTGGAGTAATCCACGCTCATGGCGGCCATCTGCTGTGGCAGACCGTCCACGTTGAAGATGTTGCTCCGGGCCGTCTTGATGCCCACGCCCACGGCCACGCCCCCGCCATTCGGGGCACTCTGTACGTTATTCATAGTGCTAGTAATTATCGGTTGCCTCACTGTATCCTTGGAATCATTGGAGTCTGTGTGTGATGGTGCAGGTTGATGGTGATGCTGGATGTTTGGTGAGTTCTGCAAGGATCAGAGAACAAGTGCGTCGGGTTAGAAGGTGCAATCCCCTTGAGACTGGAGCCAATCCCGACCTATCCTACGCCCATTTGGCTGAGTTGTGCCTTCGTCTTTTGCCGGGTGTTTACTGCTTGCATCGCGATGATGGAATAAGGGTGAAGAAGCCAGCGACGCTGCTTTTATACCCGCCCACTAGGATGATGAAATCCCAAGCTACGCATGACGCAATATTCGCTCTAGTTGTGAACTCCGAAGAGAGGCAAAAAGAAGAGAGCGGGCAGAAGAATTCAAGGAACTTCCCGCATTTCACAAACATTTCCTTAGAAAGTGAAATGAACCTTATCGGTCATTTATTTTTAACCACAGATGGAAGTTCCACATCGATACTGCGATCCAAAAAGGGTGGACATTAATATTTCCGTTAAAAGCATCATGCAAAATTTGCATATTTGTAGAAAGAAATTTGGAAGCACAGGAAATCAAACAAGGTAAATGATGCAATAGTAACTCTATTTGTGTACTCCAAAGAGAGGCTTATAGAATAACACAAAAGAGAGTGAAAAAAGAGAGACTCAGGAAATCCCGTGCTTCGTAATAATTTCGTTGAAAAGTGAAACGACCCTTATCGCTGGGAACACATTCTTGCGGTTTGCTCGCCAAAAAAAAAAAAAAACACAATTTTAAAATATTTAGACTCAAATTCACATAAGTTTTACTTTTGCTAAACCTAAACCTTCTTTTCAAATAAAAAGTCAACTTTTAGCTTAAAAACACTCTTGTACAACAAATAATGAAGTCTATCTAGGGTTAAAAACAGCTGATGGCCGATTTGTATTTGTTTATATAATAAAGCTTTGTTGACGTACACAAAGAGCGGCTAAATAGCAACAAATGGCATTAGTCAGTACGCATTTTTCGCTGTTTATTTATAGGCGCCAAACAAAGAGCGCAGGTATTATATATATATATGTGTGTGTGTGTGTGTGCCAAACATATGTACTATGTACTTTTGTACATATGTACATATATATTTGTATGTGGCGAACCAAAACAAACACTACATTTGCATATTATGCGCCAAATAGTTTATTTTTGTGAAGCGGCGAGATGTTGGGGAACGTTTAAAGTGTCCATTGAATAACAAGATAAACAGTTAATCAGCTGAAATACCCTTTGCAATTGTATGTTGAACTTGGCCATAAAAAGTGAAAGCATTCTGGGGAACACGGGGAAACGAACGAGGACTGTAAACATGCAACTTACAGTTCATATAGCCCTCTGTGCTCCTTGTGTCCGTCGGGTGTCTGCCTCTGTATCTGCTAATTTTTAAAACGATTTGTAAATAATTTGTTTAGCTTTTCCTAAGCCACGTACCGCGCGGCGTTGCCAGACCGATTGCATATCGTAACTATGTGCTGCTACTTATCGATAGTTCACTTTATAAATAAACACTTTGGGTATTCCTTGCACCGCTGAATTTTTAAAATTTAAACGAACATTTTTAGAAATGCGAATTGTATCTTTCATCGAAGTTGAGTTTACAAATAAATGTCATGCCTTTTTAGTTCCACATATAAATATGCAAGTAAAAATAATTGTTACACTC